GAATCCACCTTTCAACTTAACAAAAATTTAGTCTAAAACCAAATAGCATTCATTCCTAAAACATTCTATTATGTCCAGTAAAATCACAATGTCTACTCCAAAGTTAATTTGGAATAAATGTGATTTAAAATTCACATTTACAGGGCACCTGGGTGGCTCAGTTGGTTAAGCATCTACCTTTGGCTCAGATCATGATCCCAGGGTCCTGGGATCAAGTCCCACATAGGGCGCCCTGCTCAGCGGAGTCTACTTCTCCCCTCCCTCTGCCGCTCCCCCTACTTGTGCTCTCGCAAATGAATAAAAAATCTTTAAAAAAATAAAATAAAATTCACATTTACAGATGTATCAACACTTGAAAGCAGTGCAGTCAATTCAATGACAAGCTCAAAATAGTTATTTTATTGAACTGACTAGTCAATTTAATAAAATCATCAAAATTTGTCACTGCCAGACATAGTCCAACTACATACTTGTGAACAGGAGTGATACAGGTATTATCAAGAGAACAGACTATGATAAGAGTATGCCAATGTCTTAAGAAACAAATTCTTGCCAAAGAGCAAAACTTGATTAAAGATGTTACTATAATCTTCCTCTTCACTCAAAATAGATGAAATTAATTTATACCATTATTTAAATAAAATACCTACTTAAATGTTTCCTGTATCCTACCCTACATTACTTTTCTGTAATACTTGAAAACTGAGATTTTTTTTAAGAAAACATGTTTCTACATGTTTTCTACATGTTGTACAACGCTACTAAATGCCAGAACCTTCCTCTAGAAGATCTCCAAGTGGTATATGGGTGACAGTATCTGAAGTGACTTAATCATTTATTTGACAGAGAGAGAGAGTGAGCACAGGCACGGGGGAGGGGCAGAGGGAGAGGGAGGAGCAGGCTCTCCACGGAGCAGGGAGCCCATCACGGGACTCGATCCCAGGACCCTGGGATCAATGACCTGAGCTGAAGGCAGATGCTTAACTAACTGAGCCACCCAAGCGCCCCTGAATCTGTGATTTTAAAATTGTGATTCATGACCTTCCTCTAGAAGATCTGTAGGTGATTTATCTGAATATATCTGAAGTGACTTAATCATTTATTATGGATTTTAAGTATAAAAATGCTGCTTTCCTCTGATTTTTTTAAGTTAAAAGAAAAAGCTTAATTCTTGACTCTTCCTTTCCCCCAATTTAGTTGATAGTGGAGTTATTTTATTTTTGTCATCTTTGCTTAAGTTCTAACAATTGAGAAAAAAAAAATGAGAATCATGAGGGCAGACACCCACGTCTTTTATTTATTTATTTATTTATTTTAAAGATTTCATTTATTTATTTGACAGAGAGAGACAGCAAGAGAGGGAACACAAGCAGGGGGAATGGGAGAGGGAGAAGCAGGCTTCCCGCAGAGCAGGGAGCCCGATGCGGGGCTCGATCCCAGGAGCTGGGATCATGACCTGAGCCGAAGGCAGACGCCCAATGACTGAGCCACCCAGGCGCCCCTACCCACGTCTTTTAAATTCATCATTATATCTACAGTGCCTACCATAGGAGGGTCACATTATTTACTTACTGGCTGCCTTAGAACCTTGAGTTTATTATAGGGATTGGATCTTCCATGGATATTAAGATCCCAGTACTGGGGCACCTGGGTGGCTCAGTCCGTTAAGCGGCTGCCTTCGGCTCAGGTCATGATCCTGGGGTCTTGGGATCAAGCCCCACATCTGGCTCCCTGCTCAGCGGAGAGCCTGTTTCTCCCTCTCCATCTGCCTGCCACTCTGCCTACTTGTGCTCTCTCTCTCTCTGTCAAATAAATAAATAAAATCTTCAAAAAAAAAAAAAAGATCCCAGTATTTATCAGAATATTCAAAGTTAGAGGTAGTTTCAAAATAAAATTCTGATTATCGTTAATTGGTTTTTATTCAGATGAGAAGTCTTTTCCATATGGTGTCATTTTATAAGAGATATTTATCAGAAGCAGTGCAGAGCTTGAACTCTAGAGGTGGGGTCTGGGTTTGATTATAGGTTCCGGCATTTAATAGCCTTGTGATCTTAGATACATAATTTAACATTTCTAATCCTGGGTTTCCTTTTCTGTAAAATGGAGATAATAATGGTACCATCTTCATAGGGCTGTTGTGAGGACTAAATGTGATAAAACATTTATTTGGCATCTAGTAATGTCTCATACACTGATCCTGTCATTTATAGACCCTGTGCCAGTTAAAGTCTTGTAGATATATTTTTTTTTAAGATTTTATTTATTTATTTGACAGAGAGAGACACAGTGAGAGAGGGAACACAAGCAGGGGGAGTGGGAGAGGGAGAAGCAGGCCTCCCGCGGAGCAGGGAGCCCGATGCAGGGCTCGATCCCAGGACCCTGGAACCATGACCAAAGCCAAAGGCAGCCGCTTAACTGACTGAGCCACCCAGGTGCCCCTGTAGATATTTTTCAAGTTCACTTGATAAACTTTAGGAAAATGAGATATATGTTAGCCTTTGAGGACACAGTGCTGTTGTTAAACTAGAAATACTCAGATGCTGTGATTACATGCATTTTGTAGTAACTCAAGAAAAGCACTTTGCACATAGGTGCTCAATTGCATGAAATGTGCTATAATTGAAGAACTAAAGATTTTGTGTAGAAACATGTTTTCTTAAAAAAAAAAAAAATCTCAGTTATGCGTCTGCCTTCAGCTCAGGTGATGATCTCGGGGTCCTGGGATCAAGCCCTGCATCAGGCTCCCTGCTCAGCAGGGAGTCTGCTTCTCCCTCTGCCTCTCCCTCTGTCCTTCCCTCCCACTCATGTCTCTCTCTCTGTCAAATAAAATCTTTAAAAAAAAAAATCACACATTCACAAGAATGAATCTGTCAGGGGAGGGATTCCTTCAGCAAAGAAGCAACTCTTCCTACAGACAATATTTCCTACTTTAACCAATGCAATAATACTGATTTCTATTATGTGCCAGTCAGGCACTTCTTGGATTCTTTACACACACACCATCTCAATACTACATCTTTTCCCCTACTTAAAAGGGTGGGGAGGACTAGGTTTAAATACGTAAACTATACTTTGTTTTACACACTGTAGTAAAATGAAGTAAAAGATGATCCATGTACTTGAAAAAATTCATGCAATCCTCACTTTCACACATGGTACATTTAATAATCTCTCATAAGCAGAATTTGGTCTTTTGATACATCACTCAAGAAATATGATTTTAAGGGATTTTATGGTGGTACTCCCAAACAGGGGAAAAGGCAGACTTCAAGAAGCAGACAGGAGTCTTTGCTAACTAGCAATCATGGGAGAACTGAGCACAGAGCCAGGAGAAGCACTATCTAGACCCTACTCCCCACAGACCTGGCCAGCCCATCCTCTCCTTTTTCTGACAAGCTGAAGATGCCACATGGAAACCCTTAGGATCAGAAGCTGAGGACTGAATTATAGTTTCCTCGTGTATATGCAGCCACACTCTGTACCTGAGTGTCTCTTACCCACCCACCTGAAGCTCCTTTCTTTCATCTGGATGCCACATTTTCTCCATTCTTACCTTTCTTATCCACACTAACTCAACCCCCCATTTCCCAGCAGCAGGTCATTCTGTGTTTTGGCAGCAGAGGGGTCAGGTCAGCCAGCTAAGGCCTCCAGACTTGTGTGGTGTGACAGCAAAAACAAATGGAAACCTTTTCCCCACACTGGCATGTTCGAGCATAAAGTCTTAAAGTTTGAGGCAATCTGACTTCCACACAACTCCTTCAACAGAAGTCAGGGATCAGCAACACGCTTTTGGGAAGGGGACGACTACCACAGTCGACTACCCCTTGGAATGAGTTGCTGACCACTCACTATCACTGCAACATCTCTCCCTAGAAACTCATGCCACATGGAGGCCTGAGATGGTTCTTCCTGATTCTGTGAATTGACTAGGCCAGAGGGAAACAAGGTCTGCTAGACCATAATGGTTTTTGTTCTTCAGGAAAGGACCCCCTAATCCATACTACCCAATGAAATATAAAACTACCATTCAACATTCAGACATTCCACTATGCTAAAACTTACAAAATGCTTTCACTATGCTTCCTATTTGGTATCTTTTAAAAGGTATTAGAACATTAAACCACAAAATCAGGAAAAACTGTACTCGATTTAGTCTACTTTTAAATTATTTTCCAAGTGATTTTCTATAATTAAACAATATTAAAGCATATTTCTCTCATCATAAGCAACCGATGTGGCAAAAGAAAATCATTCAACTATCTACCTTCCAGATCTATTGTCTAGAGAAAAAAAAAATCTGTATCAAGATGGATCCACTGCCTTATATAATGAAACCAAGATGTATCTGTTGAACTTCAGCATTTCTAACTTCACTAACAGGGAGTAGTAGAAAATACACATCATTCAACAACTATTTTAATAGAATCCTACTCACTGTCCTGTGTTACAGAAGAGAGTAAAATATTTATGGTCAAGTAAATCAAACTATCACATTTTTACACACATTGTCCTATATATGCTCAATTAATAATACATAAACACATACAAACACACTATGGATATATATCTTTATGAATCTGCCATACTGTTTAACTGACTTTAAATACTAAAAAGTTTGGGACGCCTGGGTGGCTCAGTTGGTTAAGTGACTGCCTTTGGCTCAGGTCATGACCCTGGAGTCCCGGGATCGAGTCCTGCATCGGGCTCCCTGCTCAGCAGGGAGTTTGCTTCTCCCTCTGACCTTCCCCCGCTCATGCTCTCTCTCTCTCTATCTCATTCTCTCACTCAAATAAATAAATAAAATCTTAAAAATAAATAAATACTAAAAAGTTCATATTGCCTACAATTAAAACAATGTAAAAGAAATAATCTTGAAAAAGAAAGAAAAATCCATGAATTTCATGGTCCACATCCCAGAAAAATGATTAAATACAACAGAAAGATAGAACTAAAGACAATAAATTGATACTAAAACTAAAAAGGGATAATCATTGAGGTACCTTTTAGCACTAGTCGACAATTTAGCAGCTGTTTTGCTGGATATTTTTCCCTCCTTTTTCTTGGGCTGAACTTGCTCTCTTTCTGGTTCTTGCTGAACACTTTCACGTTGGTCTCCATCAGAACTTCCTCCACTAGTGCTTGGACTGTCATCAACTCTTTGTGCCTCAGTGGACATTTTAGATCCTGGATTAAAAATCAAAGATCATTTATTTAGTTATGGGAGGACTACCTTTAGAATAGAGAGAAAGTGAGCCTCAAAGTAGAAGTAAAACTAATACACAATGAATACAGTGGCCACTTACAAATCAGCTTTGCGAGTTGCCAAAACTTTTCTCTCAAAATGCCTTGAGAAAGAAAATGAAAACACACAGAATATATATACAAAATGTTCATAGTAACATTATTCATAAAGCCAAAAAGAGGAAACAACTCAAATGTCCACTGATAAATGGATAAACCAAATGTGATACAGCCATACAATGGAATATTATTCAGCCATATAAAGGAATGAGGCACAATACGGACACACTACAACATGAATGAACTGTGAAAACATTATGCTAAGTGAAAGAAGCCAGTCACAAAAGACAACAAACTGTATGATTCCATTTACATGAACTGTCCAAATCCACAGACAGAGACAGAGAAGTCGATAAGTGGTTGCCAGGGACTAGGAATGAGGGAAAAATGGGGAAGGACTGCTAATAGGTATGAAGTATCCTTTTGGGGTGATGCAAATGTTCTTAAATTAGGTAATGGTGATGTTGTACAACTCTAAAAATTCTGAAAACTACTAAATTAAAATCCTCCAAACTAGTCAATTGTTATCTTCTGATAACAGAAGAACACAAAAGAACGCAGAGGCCCACATGATTCTAAATAAAAACTGAACCACATAATGGTGTCAGCATTGATCGAGCAATATACCAAGCAACTGTGTTTCACAAGAAATGCAGACTGTCTTGAGAGGCTGAAGGGCTCTTTTTAATTTTTTTTCCAGTCTTGGATAAAATATCCCTGAAGGCTTTCAAAATTCCCTTTGCTCTGAGTTCATGCTCCCCAAGCAGCTCTGATTATCAACTCAACTTCCTCAATACCTTGACACATAGTAGCTGCAATAGCCTGGATAGCAGATACAAAAAAATTCTAGTAAGTGAAAGGGACATCCCTTCTCAACTATCATCCCATCATAATCAATTTCTGAGTTTGATTTCTATGAATACACCCCTTATGACCAAACTAGCTTAGAGTGTACTGACAAATTCAAAACAAAACTGACAAATCAATGCCCAGACTCTAACGAGCCTTGTGCTCACCATGTTACTGTCACCTAATAACCACTTTGTAAAAGAAAGATACCTCAAATAAAGCACTGTTTATTACTATAATTAGTCTAAATATATAGCTACTTGACAATGATGAAAATTCATCATCACCGAAGATTTAACTTACAGCTTGCTCTAAATCTAAGTGATTTCATAATACAAATCTTTAATGGATTTAAATTTTTATCATAAGACAAACCAAAATGCAACGTAACCGAATGAAAGAATCAGGAAGCACAGAGAGGTGAAGAGTCAACAGAAAATACTGTATGCCTTCCATGAGACATCACACAAACACACCACCACCCCTCTCAACTCCATCAGCTCCCATCCCCCATGCCAAACAAAACAGATCTGCACAAGCCACTCTGAAAGACATTGACAGAGAAATCTGACTGCTCTTCTACCTATTCTGTAAATGGAGAGCATCAGTCTCCACAGCTGTGACACCTTTTATGAGCACTAAAGTCACTTAATAGAATACTGAAATTTTACATCAGTATGTTTCACGTCTAGCTCTAACAGTCTGAACATATTTCTTGCTTTTTTTTCATTTTTATTTCACTTTAATTCTTACCCTTGGATTTAACATTGATTTTTTTTCCAGCTTACTTCTTTCAGTTAAAATATATCAGAAGTTTAAAATCTAGTAAGTATGTATATATAAGAGCATGTTAGAGCAGATGTGCATGGAAGTAAGAAAGAGAACAATTCTCAGGGAACGGTCCTTGGATATAGCAAAATGCTGTTGGCAATATTTTAAGAAATGTGAAATGAGTGAGAATTCATTTTAAACATCCTAAACCAGAAGCAATCCATTACATGACAAATATACGGAAACCTAAATGAAATGAAATTCTTTTTTACTGAACATGGAGCCTCAGCTTAATAAACTATGCCTACAGTTTCAGTTATATATTATATTAGTTATATATATTAATATATATATACATTTATACAGTTATAGGTATATATATACACATTCTTTTTAATGTTCTTATTTATGTACATTTGCATACTAATAATGCAATGAGCATATAATTACTTTAAAGATTACTCAATGATTCAATCTGAGCCATAATCTGAAGCCCAAATTTCAAAAATTGCTTCAGAATATCAGAAAACTAAAACTAGTCTCTCTAGAGAACTATTAAAAAATACTACAATGTGGAACCTGGCTGACTCAGTTGGTAGAGCATGCCAACTCTTGATCTCGGGGTTGTGAGTTCAAGCCTAATGTTGGGTGTAGAGATTACTAACTAAATTAATTAATTAATTTTAAAAAACGATTAAAAATATCCAAATAGGGAGTGAGTGCTAATAGGGATGGTGTTTCTTTTTAAGGTGCTGAAAATGTTCTAAAATCAGATAGTTGTGATGGTTGCACAACCTTGTGAATATATACTAAGACCACTTAGTATACTATATATTTTGAAAGGGTGAGTTTTGCATTATGTGGATTATAGCTCCACAAAGCGGTTATTAACAAATGGGTTTGGGTCTCAGTGTGTTTGGCTGATGGAGTTTAGAAAACTGACAGATCAAGAAATGAATGGAGAAGTACTGAGTATGTGGATACTAAAAGAAGGCCAATAGAGGGTAAGTATTAAAAGAAATTCTTAACTGAAGAAAAATTCTTGAAGTGTAACATACATACAGAACAGTACACAGTGAGTGTTGGCCAATGAGTTGTCATGTACTGAACACACTTGTGTTACCAGTATCCAGGCCAAAAAACAGCATATCCGCCTCTCCCGTCACTACCCTAACCTCTAATACCACGTCTTGCCCATCTTTGAACTTCACATAAATAAATTATATGATGATATACTCTTAAGTTTTGTTCCTTTCCATAAAAAGAAAAACCCAGAGGTATAATTTCTATAATTTCACCATAGAGAAAAAAATTTTATTTCCACTTTTGACCTCAGATACTTTATTTCATCCAAATCTTAACCTATAGATGATAAATTCATCTGACACCACTAATAACCACTACAGAAACTGTTAGAAACAAAGTTTTCATATCTTTTTCAAATATCAAGAAAAAGGCAAATTTACCCTGATTTTGGTTTTTAAATGCCTAATTTTAGAAAAAAGTATTGGAAAAAAATTATTGCACCACTCAGGTGGTAACTAATTTTTATGAAGAAAAAGCAGTCCACAAGCATTTTAATTAAGTATAAATATAAAATTGGTGTTTTCTCTTTCCAAAGTATAAATGAATAAAAAGTCATGAATTAAAACTCTTTAAAGTTATCTTCTAAATCAGCATTTTAAAATTATCTTTAATATCAATTCCTAATTAGCTAATTTGATCAAATCATCTAATCTAGAAGGAAGATAAACTTAAATTCCAAGGTTATAAACACAGAGCTCATCTTCAATGATCACTTTAAAGCTAATAAGACATTTAGGGCGCCTGGGTGGCTCAGTTGGTTAAGTAACTGCCTTCGGCTCAGGTCATGATCCTGGAGTCCCAGGATGGAGTCCCACATCAGGCTCCCTGCTCAGCAGGGAGTCTCCTCCCTCTGACCCTCCCCCTCTCATGCTCTCTGTCTCCCATTCTCTCTCTCAGATAAATAGGTAAAATCTTTAAAAAAAACCTAATAAGATATTTAAATCTATATTTTTAAATATAGACTCAAAGTAAAACTTGGCTTCTAAACATAAAACAGAAAGACAGACTTTCCTCAAACATGTGTTAAATTTAGAGTTTAGATACTGTTCCTTCTTCAACACACAAATTAAGCCTGTACTACCTATGTACTCTGTGTGGTAATTACAGTCCTAGAAATCAGCAATATAGTAAATGAAATTCACATGTTCCATAAAAATGAAATGACTCGGTTATAAACTGATAACGTAAAAGCAACTACAGTCACTTCATAAATTCGATTACTGCTCAGATAAGACTTATAACTGTTTCTCATGTTATAAAACTGCAAAAGCAATGTTCACTTGAGCTTTTGCAACAGGAAAATGCTTAATTCTGTCATTTAATATCTTGTTATTTGTCTTCCTACTCACATTTCTAAACTTTTCTAAAATGTAAAATAAAACACAATTTTTGAGGAAAAGGTGCTATGTTCCGGGGGAGATAAAATGGGGTATGACATTATATGAAAACACTCCATCATCAGCATCAACCCACATACAAAACGCTAAAGAGCCAGAGCATCCAAATCGCTGAGACAATTATTTAAATTCCAAGGTCCAGACTGAATTATTATCACATATTCAGAAACACACTTTTTAAAGAACAGGCGATAAAAAAAACTAAGAAGAGCTTAAAATCTTTCCAAAGCGCTAGATAATCTGAAGGTAAACCCTAGGTCTTCCTTTTGTACTTTTAAATAAAAATATTTGATTTGACTCTCAAGAATACACAACACAAAACGACGAATCTTGAAAACATGCAAATAGGTCTAACAGCCACCGAGCACAGGATGATGTCTTTCTAAAGCGGCCTTAATTTCCTTAAGGGAAGATGGATTGGACATTTCTGGTTGGTCGTGGGAAAAAAAAAAAAAAGCCACAAGAAGCTATGCTTCATCTTCATTAGAAATGGTAAAGGGCAAAAGGATCAAAACATTATGAGAGAAGAGAGGGGGAGAAGTGGAAGGAGGAGGGCAGAGGGAATCCAGTTTCAAACCAGGCCAGTGGGGGCTGCAGAGAAGAGACCAGAGAAAAATGGGCTTCGGCTCCAAACTGTGACAAGCGCCAGGCTTCACAAAAGACCAATACAACACACACTTCACACCAGGGTATACACAAACACAACCCACAAGGTCTTCCCCAGGAGGGCCACGGGGGTGCGGCGGCGGGGGAGCCAGACCCGGCACTCACCAGGAGAGACACCATGTGCAGCAATTATGCAATTAGGGAAAATAGCAAAAGATCAAGCCGGGCACTTTCCACCGTGACATTTATCCAGTACTTTTGCAAAGACTTAGTTCCAGGATGCGGCTGGGAGAGGAAAGGGGCTGGGAGGGTGGCGAAGGATGGGGAACTGAGAACGGAAGGGGGTAGAAGATGGGCAGGCAGGGACGAGGCGGGGGGAGATAGGAAGGGGGGAGGGGTGGAAAGGGCGAGAAACCGGGGCAAGGAGGCTCGCGGGAGGGGGCGCAGGGAACGGGGCACGCCGGGGAACAGGGGAGAGAACTAGGGCGCCGGCGGTGGAAGCAGAGACCTGCGACGTGGAGGCGAGGTTGGGGGGGACGCCCGCCAGAGGGAGGACGCCGGAGACAGGGAGGAATGGGGGGGGCACCGGCGAGGCCCGGGCGAATACCTGAGGGAGGGGCGTCCGCGCAGGTCCCGGGCTCCAGCCCAAGCGCGGGGAGAGAGGGCTGCGGAGACGACGGGGGGGGGCCTGGGAGGCCCCGAGGACGGGGTGTCCCCGCAGACCGTCTAGTCGCCGAAAGCCGGACCCGCGCACCACGCACCCGGCCGCCCGGCCACGCCTGTCCCCGCCGGGCTCGCGCCCGCCCGGACTCACCCTCAGCGCCGCCACCGCCGCCCGCGGCCGTTCCAGCTCCGGCTCCCGAGGCTGCTGCCCGCGGCTGCCGCTGTGGCCGCCCCTGAGTCCTGGAAAGTGAAGCCACCGCCTCCGTGAGACGCTGCCGCCGCCCGGCCGTCCGCGCGCGCGCCCGCGAGTGCGCGTGCCCGCGTGCCCGCCCGGGAGAGACCGCGAGAGCGCGAACCCCACGTCGGCCGTGCCGCGCCGCGCGCCTCCCTGCACCCCAAGCCTGCTCCGCCCCGCCTCCTCCCGGCGCGTGGCCGCGAGGGGGCGGGGGCGGGGGCGGGCGCGCACACGGGCGGGCTGCCCGGTCGGCCTGGCGAGGGGGCGGGGAGGCGGCGCGGAAAAGTAAAGTGACAGCCGAGTCCCGCGAGTGAGCAGCGGCGGGGGTGGGCGAGGGCCGGCCCACGAAGACGGGAAAGCAGGGACCAGGAGAGGTCAGGGAAACAGAGGCTGGCGAGGCGACCTGAAGGGAAGGGACGCGGGGACCTTGACGGGCACGCGCATTAAAGGGAAATGCTGGCTGGGGGGTGGGAGTTGCCCTAAGACGAAACTGGGTGCGGCGTTTTACGCCCGTCCAGGGCAGCCCTGGACTTCACACTTCTCTCAAAGCGTCCGCCAAGTACGCTACTGGGACTGACCCTGTTGACAACCAGCCAGAACTCGGGCGCATGGTGCCCACATGCACCCAAGATGAGAAAACTTCGCACTATCCTGGAAAGTTCGCAAAGGCTAACCCAGACTCCCTACGCTACGCTGCCACACGAATATCCTTCTGCGTTTTGGTTCGCCCTGGCCTAGAACGTACACGGGTAGCCAGGAGCTCCGCGCCATTTAGCCCTGGGATATTGGGGAGAGAGGTGAAAGGAGGAGGAGCTATCAGAGCGAGTAGGAGCTGCATTAATGCCCAGTCAAAGGCAATGGGAACAGTGGCAGTGCTGTGGGTAACTCGAGGGAACATTAGGTTCCCCTATAATCTGCACCCCAAATAATCATTAAAAAATAAAACAAAAACCCCTATGCCTGCTATGCAAACTCAGCTTCTACAAAATTTCCCCCACCTCCACCCCTAGCTCCTCTTACTGATTGCTGTTGCTGCTAGAGCCCTCCTATATACGCGAGCTGTCACTCTATGTGTGACATACCCTAGAGAGCTGTCCCTTTTTGTGGCAAAAGTGTCCACCCCACAAAGTCCCGCACAATTCAAGCAGCCGAAAGAAATCAGTGCAGTTAAGACCCCAGAGGACAGGAGCAAGTCAAGATACATACATATGTCTAGAACTGAAAATCCTTTTACTAAATGCCTTTTTGAGGAATATTACTTAATAACATCCCTGAAAATTGGCAAAAGCAGGTATTGGCTTCCAGGCTCCAGAAATCACTATTGAGTAAAAAGTGGGTGTGTTCTGGGGATCGTTTCTATGCAGCACTCAAGAATATCAACAGGCCCTGTTACCCTAAACTCAAAAACATGTACTGGAGGATTATAAATTAGCATGTCCTGAGATTATCAATTATATAGCCACCTATACCTCTCACATGGTGCAATATTTTATGCATATAATGCATAAAATTTGCTTTTTAATTTTAGAATATGACCAAAATAGAACATTTCATAGATTGCCTTAAATGTCTGCATAATTTATTTTACCTCATTAAATCTCCATGTTTTAATATTTTCATTTTCCTGATTGTGTTTTATAATGATTTGGTAAGGATGGATGACAGAATTCCCGTTTTCTAGGTCTCTATGCTTTTCTCCAATAGACTACTCCCATATATTCAGGTATATATCCTGTTGGGTTTTGTTTGTTTATTTTGAGTATTTTGTAACAAAGTTCTCTTCTGTTACAGAAAGTATCAAAGTTGTTTTTTAGTCCTGGTCATTGGCAGCTGGTGGCTAGGAATGCAGCAATGTCTGCTTTTAACTTCGTGAAAGAATTGGAAAGGTTTTCACTGCTTAACTGCTGAAACTATGATTGCTGTGATACTTCATTTATCTGCAGATGTCTTAACTGCTGTGTACTATTTATTTGGGTTTTTTTTTTTTTAAGATTTTATTTATTTATTTGAGAGAGAGAGAATGAGAGAGAGCAAGCACATGAGAGGGGGGAGGGTCAGAGGGAGAAGCAGACTCCCTGCCGAGCAGGGAGCCCGATGCAGGATTCGATCCAGGGACTCCAGGATCATGACCTGAGCCGAAGGCAGTCGCTTAACCAACTGAGCCACTCAGGCACCCTATTTATTGAATTTAAGAAATTAAGGGTATAATACGAATCAGAATTGCCTTTTCATTAATTCAAAGAATGTCTGAAAAAAAAACAACAACAGCAAAGAATGTCTGTTGAGTACTAGGCTCTGTCTAGTTGGTTGGGATATGACATTGAATAAAAGAGAAAAATCCCGGGCGCCTGGATGGCTCAGTCTGTTAAGCATCTGCCTCTGGCTCCCGTCATGATCCTGGAGTCCTGGGATGGAGCCCCGCGTGGAGTGCCCTGCTTAGTTCCTCCTCCCCACTCATGCTCTCTCTCTCTCTCTATCCTCTATCTCTATCGCTCTCTCTCAAATAAATAAAAATCTTAAAAAAAAAGAGAGAGACAGAGAGAGAGAGATCCCTATCCTCACAGAGCTTCCCTATTTCTGACCTTTCTCTTTGTTTTACAATCTACATCCAATTCATCAGCAAATTCTGTCCATGCTACCTTCAAAAATACATCCTGAAAGGATCCACTTCTTCCCACCTCCCTCCCCACAGCTCAGACCCTAGTCTAAGCTACCATCATATTTCAACTATAGCCTCCTACCTGATCTTGCTACTTCCTTTACCTACTATCCCTCCATTTCCCCCCCATCCCAACACACAATAGTCTATTTTGTCCTTTAAAATATAGGTCTCGGGGCGCCTGGGTGGCTCAGTTGTTAAGTGTCTGCCTTCAGCTCAGGTCATGGTCCCAGGGTCCTGGGATCGAGCCCCGCATTGGGCTCCCTGCTCCGCAAGAGGCCTGCTTCTCCCTCTCCCACTCCCGCTGCTTGTGTTCCCTCTCTGTGTCTCTCTCTGTCAAATAAATAAATAAAATCTTTTAAAAAATAAAGAAAATAAAATATAGGTCTCTCCTCTTCTCAAAACCTTCAGTGGTGGGGCGCCTGGGTGGCTCAGTCGGTTGGGCATCTACCTTTGGCTCAGGTCATGATCCTGGGGTCCTGGGATCAAGCCCTGCACTGGGCTCCCTGCTCAGCAGGAAGCCTGCTTCTCCTTCTCCCTCTGCAATTCCCCCCACTTGTGCTCTCTGGCTCTCTCTATCTCTCTGTCAAATAAATAAATAAAATTTTAAAAAAGAAAAAACAAAACTTTCAGTGGCTACCCATCCTAGAGCAACACCCAAAATTCTTACAATGGCTTCATGGCCCATGATCTGCCCCCCACCCTCAACCAGGACCCCTCTGACCCCACACTGTAAAACTTCACCCCATTCTCATTTCCCTCCAGCCACATTAGCCTCCTTGCTATTATGGAACACACCAAACATTTTTCTAAATACTTCTGACTTAACAATTTCCTATCTCTAGAACATTCTTCCCTTCACCTCTTCCCCCCAGCACTTCCTATAACCCTTACTCTGCTTTATTTTTTTCATGATCATCATAATAAATCTAAAATAATATATTTTTTTTACTTAGTTGTTTATTTTAGCCTTCTGTTTCTCCCCTGGTCCTCCCTCCTCCCTCCTCTACATATAAGTATCTTGGGAACAAGGATTTTGTTGGCTGAGGTTCATTGCCATATATATATATTCAATAAATATTAGTGCAGTGAATGAAATTGACCTCTTGCTGTTAAGGACACAGTAGACATTGTTTTAATTTCTTCAGTAATAATTAGCACTTAGTGTGTTCTTGATCTGTACCAGGCAAAGTTCAAGCACTTTGCATACACTAGCTCACAAACACCCCATAAGTTTGGTTTCATTCAATCAACCCCATTGTATAGATGAGAACACTGAAGTACAGAGAGATTAAGTCACTTGCCCACAATCACACAGTTAGTGAGTAGCAGAGCTGGGATTTGAAATCAGCAGTTTCGCTCTGGAGTTGATGAAATTCAGGACACATTAACTTGAGCCCAGTGTTACAAACAGATCTCACTTGATTTTCTCAAGTCCTCTCCCCTAAGACTCAAACTTGGTCTCCAAAACAAATAGCTTACCTGTCTTGTATTTTCTGCTCTAGTCCGTCAATCCATCATCATGAACTCACTCCTTTCCTACACTTCTTATTTCTGAGCCTTAATATATAGCCTACATTTTTTCCCCTAGAATTGGCAAATAAGAATAGTTTTTGTAGGGCCCTTCTTATAATTTTTGTTACTGCCAACTTCATGAGTAGGTAGAGTCACATTAGTTTTCTAGCATGACTTGTGCTAGAAAAGACCTCTCTGGGGGTAACTGGACTGGTTTCAGTAAAATGCATCATACTGCTAGAGCTGCTCCTTGTTTAGGCTGCTCCCATTCTTGTTAGGCACCCAATGGTCAAGGATTGTTAAATATTTGGATTGTACTCTCTGGAGGAAATATCATTATTAGCATAAGTTTACCAAAGATTAGGACCTGTGAGAATTGAATGAAAGACAACAATCTTTTGCTTACAGTCTGGCTTGAAAGGGGCTATAGGGCACTCTGTGGTCACTCTGAATGTCTTGGATACTTAAGAGGAAAAACACTGATGTGGGAAAATTGAAGCTCCGTTAGAGCTGAGACCCTAGGACCCCATTACTTAGTACCGTATCAACACAGAGGCATGTACCAGGTGTTTAAAAAATGTTTGATGCAACAGAGGGTTCAGAGGGCAGTAGGTGGGGGGATAGGTAAAAAAGGTGATGGGGATTAAGAGCACACTTATCATGATGAGCACTGAGTAATGTATAGAATTGTTGAATCACTATATTGTACACCTGAAACTAATATAATATTGTATGTTAACTGTACTGGAATTAACATTTAAAACTTAATAAACTTAATTTTAAAAAAAGTTTGTTGAATGCATGAATAAATGAATTCCTAACAGGTAATGGAAGAGTGCTGAGGACAAATGCCCCTGGTGAGGGACTGCCACCT